AACCAATAAAAAAGTAGGTAATGTAACTTGTGGACCAAACTAGGCTATCTGAATTGGAAGTTTGGTGAAACAGTAGAAGGGGTCCCTAATTGGATGAGTATCAGAGCTGAGATATAAGTGAACTCTATAAGGGCAAAAGTAGGTAACAGTAGCGGCTTTGGCTCACAAATACTTGTTCTCAGACTAGATATAAGCTACCGAAGTCTAGATCAGCCTAAACGTAGGTATGGAAGGCTTTAGCAGGTTTACTTTAAGGTCAAAGAACTCTCTAGATGGTAGAGACTGCTTTAAAGCTTAAACTAGCATATGAAAATAAAGCAATATTAAGTATTATCACTTGGATATAAAAGGGTTGATATATAGACACAGAGGGTTTAAATAGGTAACTTCCTAGTGGGATGCAGATACAGCATTTAGTGTAGAATCTAGTAATAGGCAGACTACTTAAATAGATGCTCAAAAAGTGCAGATATAGCTAGTTGTATTCTACAAATATGTACAGCCGTCAGAATGTTCTAACAATTAAAAATACTACTGATATTCGAATAAAGAGCAGTATAGCAAAAAGGTCACTTTAACATTATAAAAAAAAATATAGCTTTCAATTAGCTACCCTTAAATCTTTTAGAATTAAAATTCTACTTGATGAGCTATCTACTTCACATGTTCTTTACAAGCACTATCCATCTTACTTACTAAACTGCTATAAATATAACTAAATTAATATAGTACTCTACTGGCTAATATGCCAAACTCTTAGCATTTAGAGAATCTTATTCACAAATTACTTCAACATTTTCTTAAACTATCTACTCTTGATATATCAACTAAATCTTATAATGAATTTATACTCTCAAATCAAAAATCTTGATAGTATGTGAATATACAATGACCCTAATATATCATTCTTGTTTTCAACAATAACTAGTTTTATTCTACAGGACCTTATCAATTTAATCAAAGACATTACTTAATCAAACAAAGCTTCAACTAAACTTGGTATTCAACTATTACATTTAAATTAACAAATCTACAAAAGAGTGCTAGATACTATACTTTGTCTCTTAAGCAAAAACTAGTCTACCAATTCATACTTTATCTATAATCTCAGCATTACAAATTTTATCTACTTAATTGATGCCTTTTACTATTACAAGTACTAAATTTGAATCATAATATTCAAAGTGAATTAAATATTAATACAGCTTATACAACTTAATTATCTCAGAAATCTAGATGAGCCATGATCACTCTAATAGTTTTAGATTGCAGATAATTCTTATAACTTTTAAGTTAGCAAATGCTCTGTTTGAGTCTCTAGTTTTAGTATCTTATAGATATAAAGTTCAAATAATATAATTTCTTTATTTGATTTGTAAAGAAGTTTAATTAAATTTTAATAAAAATAGAGGCATAGCCTTATTTTTGAAGATTAAAAAAAAACCATTATACTAAGCTATACTAGCCTTAATAGCAATAATAGTATAGTCTTTAATTATATAAAATATTATATAAATTACACAAGCTACTAGTTATAGTTGTCTTAGTATTTTTGCCAAAATATAATATCTTGATCTCAAATTACTCTTTAAGTTTATTTTAGATAGTAAAAAATTAGTCTAAATACTTTAAATAAACTTAAAACAAAATCTTAATCTTAACTAAAAAAAATTAGATACTAAAGATTTTAATTATTTTTATAGTAACTTTGCATAAAATTGTCAAGTAAAAATTTCTAAAAATTTATTTAATCTGCTTTGTTTTATTCTAGCCAACTAAAAACTGACTATTTGTTTTATTATTAAATTAAAAAAGATTATTAAAACTTGCTATTGCTTTGAAGCTCCACTATAGTCAAATATTTATACAATAAATACTATATTTCTAAAAATAATTAAACATATACTGAGTATAATACTATTAATATCAACTTTAAAAAAGAGATAATAAACTTTGTTTTTAGTATTATGACTCAACAGAGTTTGTTTTACTATTTTTGAATACATCACCAACACCTACACTATATTAATATACTTGCTTAATTTGTAACCAATCTATTAGTTGTAGACTTATAAATAATCAACATTACTTGGCTAGCAATACTATAATCTATACTAACAAACTATATTAAAAATTACAAATTATATATTTATAACTCCCAAAATCTATAATATAAATCATAAAGCAATAATAAAGAATTTATTAATGAGTTAAAAGAATTTTTTTTAGTGTAGTTCTGTGCAGAATTACAAAAAATTAAATAATAAATTAAATAAAAATTTGTGTAAATCTTCAAAGCTGCTGGCTATAGTTGCAGAAATTTAATGCAATTTTGTAAAAAACTTCAAATTTAAAAAATTTTGCAGATTTTTTGTAAAAAATCTGTATTTTAACAAATTTTTGCAGATTTGCACTTATTTAATTTTTCTGATGCTAGTCAACTACCAACTATTGAATTCACTTATCTTAAGGCTTAGTCTCTTGAATTTAACTACAGAAAAAATGAATCTGGGTATCAATAATAACTCTACAACTGATAATACAACTCTACAATTGATAATACAACTTTACAACTAATAATACAACTCTACAACTGATAATACAACTCTACAACTGATAATACAACTCTACATAAAGATAATAATAGCAGTAAAATTATCCTGCAACATCAAACTAGTAACCAACACCAATCTAATACCTCTACTCTCAACATCTTAATTCCTTTACAACAAGAACAAACTATTATTATTAAAGAAACCATAGGACAACCTGAGCAATATCAACAACTACATAAACTCACAGAAACTACTAGCCAGCCAGCAACAGCAACTACAGATACCCCTCAATAACCACTTAGACCAAGGCCTTAAAAACCAGCAACAACAGTTGCAATTATCTCTTAATAACCGAATTTAAGATCAAGAGACTACATATCAAATTTAACGTTTTATCAATAGTATCAAATTTAGAATCAGCTTAACAATTCGGCGGATTTGTAGATTTTTTTTATTTTTTAAATACTAAATTTAATTATGTAAAAATGAGTAATGCAAAATTTTGTTAACTTGGAGCATTTAAATAAGGACAATTCCAAAAATCCGATGCATCGAATTGCTTTTAGATTTTGGATCAACTTAGGTTGTTCCGTTTCAACCTAAGTAGATTCCAAAACTACAATAATTCTATTTAGACATACAATTATAAATGTCGTAATTTAAGTTGATTCGGAATTTTTAAGGTTGATTCGGAATTTTTAAGGTTGATTCAGGTAGAATTTAAGTTGATTCGGAATTTTTTTAAGGGTTTTTTAGTATAATTATTCCGTTCTAATCTATGTGGATTTCCGAACCCTATTATCGTTCCATTCTCACTTACAACATAAATATTATGATTTTTACTTAATAAGTTGAAGCGACGGGTTAATACTAGTTTAATATTAAAACTTTTAACGTGCCATTATTCGAGTTCGGAGGGAATTATTACACAAAACGCGTGAATGTGCTAAGACCGTAGCATCACTACCCTAAAAAAAATTTCGCCACCAGCGTTAGGGTTAGGGTTTGGAGTATTTTTGGTTTAATTTTATGCTAAACCCGATCTTAGATTTTAATTCGGCCCGATAGTAAAATTTTTAGGGTGACCAGTGATGTAAATTGGATCCGCGCAGTAGGCGCAACGTACTGTACATAGATTTAAATTTGCGCATATATCAGCGCTCTTCATATATATAATGCGCGTATAAATTTCTTTATTTGTGCATGTTTTTTTTTGCGTTTGCGCAATAAAATTTTTTTGAATTTTTAACACTGGTGATGACACTTGGGGACGCCCCTAGCTCACCCACAAAAAATTGTTCACCCTGTAATTTTGACCAACCGAATTTCAGGGTCAGGTATAACGTAAAAATCGAAACGAAACCATTTTTTTAAAAAAATTTTAATTTCATTTTACGCGTAGCTTTTTTACTTAGAAAACAAAACACATTTGTTTTGACACCTGATTTTAAATTTTGATTGGTCAAAATTACTGGAAATGAACAATTTTTTATGGGAACGTTACCTAAAATACGCTTGGGTGGTTTGAATGTAACGGTAATACTAAAGTACAAATTAGACAGTTATAATAAGATTTATGACAATAATGATATATTAAAAATGGAATTTTAGTAGCACATGACGTAGCACGAAAGCCTCCGCTGCTCCGGACGATACAAAAACAAATTGAACGGTGAATTTTTCAAGAGTTAACTCATTACATTGATACATTGAAACATTGAAAATTTTTAAACAAGTAAATATGATTTTAAATATTTTGAAGTATTCACAAATTATATAATTTATTTATATATATATATTTTTATTTTAGTATGTCAAGTATTGCAGGAGTCTTGAGTTTTAATGATGAAAATAAAAAAAGAAATGTTCAAGGATTTCAAAGTGTAACATTTCTAATTAAGGTTGAAAAACTTCCAGAAGAAGATACTCAAGCACGTTTATTTTTCCTTGATGGGGAACCGGTAGAAGAGTGTGAAATACCTTCTGGTATAAAATGTAAAGAGATCAATGAAAATGAGACAGTTAAAAACAAAAGTCCGTTTTTAGGACAAAATTTTTTTCTGATTAATCATCCGAAAAAATATGAAATTTACTATGAAGGTATGAAGATTTTTGCAATGATTCCGGAAAAAAAGAGATATACTATTCATAATTTTGATAAACCTGATAATGTTAAACAATATGAGGATGAAAAGCGTATAAACAAAGCCATTAACACTATCATCAAATATGAAGTAAATTAGGTCATGGTGCGTCATATCGATATCGATATGGCATAATACAATAATGGAATCTGCGAAAATCCAGACCAGATTAGAATAATTTTACATATTGATAATAATGTTAACTAAGTATATCTTTGTAAAAACAAATAACGAAAATAATTCTTAAGTAAAATAATATAAAATTCTTTGCAATAAGTATAGTTAAATACAATATCGATATGCCTAAAATCTATACATAGAATCGTTTCGCAAACAAAATTTTTAGGGATCTGAAATTTTGAATTTTTATGTTGAAAATATTCTATAACACATATTCATTTTACACAAGTTAATTGTCCACAAGTTAATTGTCAATGCATTAATTGATTAATAGATATAGTACAAAGTATATATTGTATATAGATTTTTATGTTTAAAATATTCTAGAACACACATTCATTTTACACAAGTTATTTGTCAAGCATTAATTGATTAATAGATATAGTACAAAGTATATACTGTATATAGTATAAATGTCAAATAAAATTTCTAAATTAAATTTATTTCAGTACATAAAATTTTTATTAATTTTAAAAAATTATTCCTTATAACAATTAATTGATCGGAGCATATTTCATAATATATATACATCTAAATAATCCCGCCACAATATGAATGCCGAATTAGACCTTTTTGAAAAATCATATACTTAACATTTTCAGCTATACAAAGTACTTAAGTAGTAATATTATTTCGTGATAAAAAACGAAAATTATTTTAATAAGATAACGGTTGTAACTAAAAAATAAATGCTATAACGAAATAAATGAGTTTAACGAGAAACGTTTGATTTACAATGAATAAATATTTATACATATATTTTTGTAACGAGAAATTGAGAAATATTTGTGTTTGTAACGAATAAATTTGCAACGAATTAAAAAAAAATATTTGCAACGAATTAAAAAAAAAGAATATTTGCAACGAATTAAAAAAAAAGAATATTTGAAACGAATAAAAGAAAGAATTTCGAAAGTTCGTAAAAATGTCCAATTGTTCATCTGAAAGAAACAAAGTCACATTCTATACATTATACATTTTTATTCAATCTTTGGCTGATTGCCAATCATAAAAAAAAGAATGAAAGCAATCCGACTGCTGGAAATGATGCTGGAAATGATTCTGGAAAATAGGTATGTATTTGCAGTTTTGGGGTGCATCATTAACCTCATCATAAGGGTTAATATAAGGATGTGGAATTTCGTGATAGAAAGAACCGTTTAAATCGTTAGTTGAAAAGGAAGATGTATTCTGATCATTAGTTGGTATTACTTGTTCATCATTAAAACATAACGAGGGTTGATGGAAATTTTCATTAGTCTCGATAGGTTCGGTAGTTTCATAAGTGTTATCATTAGTCTCGATAGGTTCGGTAGTTTCATAAGTGTTATCATTAGTAACAGTAGTATGATTATAAAGATGTGTGAAAGAATTACTAGCAGAAAATGAATTGTGGGAGGATGTGATGTTTTGATCACTATTTGACATTTGTTCATCATGAATGAAAGAAGAATCGGTAATAAATGTATTTAAGTATACATCAGCAGCGGACTTTGGACCACGTTTATTACCCGGTATAAAAATACAGCGCAGATTTCGTTCATTACAGTTTGTACATTTATTTTCTCCAGAAAGTATATTGCATTTTCTGCGCCTTCCACGACATAATATACATGCAACAGTTGCGTGATTACGTGTTTTTTGTTGAGGCATTATTTTACGCGCGTAAATACTAAAAATACCAAAAAATACTAAAAAAATACTAAAAAAATACTAAAAAAATACTAAAAAAATACTAAAAAAATACTAAAAAAAATACTAAAAAAATACTAAAAAAATACTAAAAAAATACTAAAAAAATACTAAAAAAATACTAAAAAAATACTAAAACTGAGATTTTAATAAAGTACAGTTCGAAGGAAGCAACAGGTATTTATATATTTTTTCTAATTACTACTCAAAACTTTATCTCTCCGTCACATGCATAATTAAATGTATCTAATTTGTGCCAATTTAACAAAAGACTAATATTATCAAATTCTAAAATTCTAAATTCGATAACCACGTGCATAAAGTTATGTGTTATCCGGACGTGCACAAAAATAAATTAATGCGAAAAAGAAAAAGCTAAATTGCAAAGAAGAAAAAATTAATTCGAATAAAATAAGACTAAAAATAAGACTAAGTTAATGAGAACAAAAAAAATAAAATTAATTCACATAAGATTAATATAAATAAAAACAGTTAAATAAATGCGAATAAAAAAATTAAACTAATGAATAAAAAAAAAAAATTTAATATGAATAAAAAGTAACGTCCAACCCAATCACTTTAAAGTGAATATGAGTGATGCCAAAGGAAAATCAGACTTCGGGATTTCAAGTTTATTATTATTATCTATTAGGTCCAGCCCTGAAGATGACACATATGACATGTTTATTTATTATTTTTTAAACATTTTAAAAGTTAAAAAAGATTGATTTATAAATATATAATAATTAATCAACACAGACATAAGTTGTTATCGACTGTGACTAAGCTGTCTTGATCATAATACATAAAACAATTTTAAAGCTACACCGATAATTTGCTTTAGCAGATTTCTTTACTATCAGCTGGGATCACTAAATGCAGTCCTTCGTAACAATAATTTTTACAAAGTAAAAAAAGTAAACCTCTCATAATCCTGTAATCGATATTTAAGATATAAAATTGTTTAAAAAATGCGATAATTTTGTGTTACACCGAATTCTGGCTTTTATATATACCCGGTACAAATACAAATAGAAATTGCTTATAAATACGTAAATAACATGCATAATGATCAGATTCGTAAGTAATAATGTTTCTTCGTATAATAATACGTATAAATGGTTAAAAATACGCATAAATGGTTAAAAATACGTATAAATGGTATAAATGGTTAAACAATGACGAATTAATTAACTCGTAGATTCTTAAATAGAAGTCTCATTAATTAAAAATGAATTGTACACCCCACGGCGATTAAAAAAACTGCTGTGATCTTCCTCAACATGTGAGATAACATCCTGCCGAATGGGAAAAAAAAAACCATGTGAGATAGCAAATACTTATTTATTTATTTGCTTAGTAAACAGATAGCCCGTGTGGCATTGGAGTTATAAAACCGAGGTGCTGCTTATATAGTGTACAGTTACATTCTATTTTAAAATTATTCCTACTGGTCCTAACTAAATTTTCCTACTGGTTCTAGTATATTTCGGTATATATAATGATATTTTAATTAAACAATTATCTTCAAAATATCATTGTTATGATTTGCATTAATATCTTGAAACATTCCGTGCCGAGCTTTCATTATATATGTTACACATCATTTGCATGTGGCAAAAAAATTAAAAGTTACAATTTCATCTAGGAATGTTATTATCGAAATTATCGGAATTATCAAAATTATCAAATTATCAAATTATCAAATTATCAAAATTATTGAAATTATTCAAAAACTAATACAAAAATTAATAAACTTATATATAACAAAAATTAATAAACTTATATATATTTATAAAAAATAAAAAAAAAAATAAATAAACTTTTCACAACTTTACTTATTGGCTAAAGACCGTTAAAATGCCAATTTCTTTTTTTACAAAACTTGCTCAAAGTCGGTCCACAATTGCTGCGGGACTTATTGACATTTTCATAATCTTATCTAAAATAATCTAATTCGATACAGATTTCTAGAAATGCAGAATTTAGTTATCGTTATCGTTATGGTTAGCATATCGGCAGATCTGCATAGAGCTTGCTGATTTCTTATTCAAATAACTTAAATCTGCAAATATTTTATTTGAATATTCGCCGAATGATTAATATTATTCGAGTAAGTACTATTTATCGCATAACGATAACGTATATTTTTGGATGGTGCAGCTAATACATAATACTGTAATATATAATCAACTATATGTGAACCGGAAGTTTCACATGATGAATAATAAAAAAATTATTCGATTATATTCAAATAAAAACTTGCCTATTCGAATTATTCATTAGATAATTCTTTATTCGAATATTCGCCGAATACAAATATTATTCGAATAACGAACTACGAATACGAAGCTCGGTCAAAATTGTCGATCTTGAATAAAATTAAATTTTGGCAAATGATCAACAATTGGACCGGAATTATAACTTTGACAATTTAATAGGGTGCGGAACAGGCTTTTTTTGGAAATCATATGGGCGGAAATTTTTAGTGGAGTGCTGTGACTATATAAAATTAGGTGATATAACAAAGTAATACTTATAA